TTGAAATAATTCTTTGAAGTTGCGACTTTGTTAAACCGATAACTTGCGAGATTGTGATATCAAGCTTATCGTGAATGGCATCCACAAACGAGTTCGGTCCAGATTCTGGTGGTAGAATAAAGGTAACCTAAAAAATTAACAAACTGTCAGTACCACAAACTACTTATAATAAGTTTGCCGCTACATGATTTGTTTAATAAAAATTGACATATTATTTTATTAAATGATTTACTCCTATCAGGGAGTTACAATAATCAAGCCTATAGTTTACGGAAATGTGGCACGGTATTTTGGCAAAAAGAGAGAGGAAGATGGACACACGCATCAGTGGACTGTGTACGTTAAGCCGTATAATAACGAGGACATGTCTACCTATGTGAAGAAGGTGCATTTCAAGCTGCATGAGAGTTATAACAATCCTAATCGTATTGTGACAAAGCCACCATATGAATTGACGGAAACTGGCTGGGGAGAATTTGAGATAGTCATTAAGATTTATTTTCATGATCCGAACGAACGTCCCGTAAGTGAAAAAGCTTGCTGTGAGATTAAAAATTTCCGAATCTAATTGTTCTTTCATTAGCTGTAAAAAATGTATGAATCAATTTCAGGTAACAGTATATCATATACTGAAATTGTTTCAATCAACACCCGAGATACAATTGGGAAAGAAGAGTCTAGTATCCGAGTTTTATGAGGAGATAGTTTTTCAGGATCCAACAGCCTTGATGCAACATCTACTGAGTTCTAGTAGGCCAATGACGCTTGGAGCTTGGCGACATAATACAGACTGTTTGTATTCAAATCACGGATGTATATTTCATCTTTTTTCATTAATTTAATGATAATTTAATAAATTTATAATTATTGCAGTTGAAGCATTGAAGGAATCTACGATGAAAGATATTATGGAGGCACGCAACAAGATTAGACTCGAAGTGATAGATTTGAAAGAGAAATTGACTCTGGCAAAAGAAACTATTGCAAAATTCAAGGAGGAGATTGCAAAGATTTCTAAAGCTGGCGGAAGTTTATCTGTCGCGTAATGATATTATTTTAAAATTGAAATAATATAATATTGATATATTGAACAAGTAGATGATATTTGTTGACTTGCTCCAACAAATATAAGATCTTTTTCCATGTATAAAGTGTACATAATTTCGTAATTGTGACTTTATAAATTTTATTTTAATTAATTTGCAAGTAATAAAAAATTTCATTTCATTGTATTTTTTTATTCAACATTACTGATAAGATAATAAAATTTCTTCTGCTTTTCAACATGGACAGTTTTCATTAGTCGCAATGAACACTTACTTATTTCTAATGTAATGTTTTTTCTTTATGATCTAGCTCGTCTAGTCAAGGAGGTTACTTATGTGAGATACCTGTATATGCAAAAGAAAACTATCTGAAAAATTTGGAAGTGAAACAATGTCAAGATTTTTCATTATATTTAACAGCACTGATTTTAATAGATCAACAGTCCATTCCTACGTTTGTAATTTCATTTAATATGTCGATGTATAGTGTATACAACGCGCGCGTAAATTGTCAACTCATGAAGACATAACATTGAGATAATAATGAAAAGTGAACGGATGTTTTTCAAACATCAAGAATTCTTGATGAAATTTAGAATTACAATACTAAAAAAGATGAAACGGAGTAAGGGTGAGTATATGAAAAGATCCATTTAAATGGAAATGAATTTTTTTGGATTGTAAACTGAGATTCCAATGGAAAAGATAAAAACGGAGGAAAGGTCTAGCGCATGGAAAGAATAGGATCCATATAGATAAGAATGAGAATTGGGAAATGTTTCAGATAAAGATTCGAAAACTTTTTTTCTTGGATGGACAACGAACTGGTTGTAACACAGATTGAGATTTATCGGGATGTTATTATATTAAGCAGTCAGTTAAAGAGAAATTATTCGAATAAACGCGGCTTTTTAAAGTATTTCGAAATACGAAAAATACCATATTTCTGTCACGAGTTGCGACACACGTGACGTGGTCCGATAATACGTTAATATGACTCTGAATAAATAACAGTTATCGAGCGTGTTTGACAATGAAGAGGGTACAGGGGATATGATGTAAACCTACGTCAGGATTGCTTGTATGTGTATCGTGTACGAACGCAAGGCGCGCGCGACTTGGAGTTTACGTTCGGCGCTGCATCCGACATAAACTACTGTTGCTCCCCGGGTGAGAGTAACTAAAAAAAAAATCGGCTGTTTCTCGCTTTCCTACCGAGAACCGAGAGACGAAAAGATGAGCACGGTCACCGAGAAAACGTAAGCATTGTGCGCGATCATTTTCATTCATTATATCGTTTGTGCGGTCGCGTACGTCGATTCATAGCTGTCGATTCGTGCTGGTGCATCAGATGGCACGCTGGTGCGCACTTCCGTTTCATAGTCCCCTGTTCGTGATCCTCGATCATCGACTATTCTTGACCGAATTTTACCTTGTGTGCCGCCTAACTGGCGGCCGCGTCGGCGTACCATCGGTGATTCACGAGTGTTACGTAATAATCAACCGGCCAGTCACTCCGACATGGATACGTAAAGTGCGAGATGTTACTAATAATTAAAAGTCACTTTTCTTTCCTGATATGTTACAATTAGAGCTGCCGGCGTAGGTACGGTCCTTAAAAAAAAAAGTCAAGAAACGTTGATGGTTCGATTTCGAATTCTGATTCGATAAAATACTGTTGAATGATTAAATCAATTCTTTAAATCTTTCAAACTTAATTTTTGATAGATTCGCAGTTTAAAAACCGACGAGTGCAATGATTTTCTTTTCTTCATCAATAAAATATCATTTCAAAAGACGATCGAGTTAATAATTAAATGAAAAGTGATGTAAATAATATATAAGTTAGGATCATTTTATGTATATAATCGTGTTTATGCTCAATAACTTTCAGAAACACGAATGATACAGTGAATACGAAAGGAATTTGTATATAGTAGTGCAGTTCGTAAAATTGATAATCGAAATCAACCAGCTTTCAATAAATGAATTAAGTAAATAAATGAATTAAGAGTACCTAATCAATAGCAATTAACTTGTTTTGCGTGAAGATATTCTCGTCACGAATTAATATTTTTTTGTTACAGATATTAAGCATTTTTTCCAATTTAAAGATTTTATATTTAATATATACACATATTATTTTTTAATATAATTTTTTTAATTCATCCAAATTAAATAATATTTTCTTCAAGTATCGTATGTATAAATTAAGTGATTCATTTTATTCTTAACAGGCAAATATTTCGGAAATATGCAATTTTATCAAAAACATTGTAAATACAAGTATAGAGGAAGATGTACAATTATGATATCGTTTATATACGTATATAACTTTTATTTATAATACTTCTTTTTTTGTAAGATTGCGTATTTTAAAAATATTTGTCCGTCAAGATTAAATTAATAAATCATTTCGTATAATTTGTAATTATATGGAAAACAGATTTTTCAATAGTTTTTAATACTTTTGATATAAATTTTATTTCACTATATCGCACGTGATACGACCATTTATCTACAAATACAGAAATGAAAATAATTAACGTACTATTTGCGAAATAGTAAAATAAAATTACAATTAACAATATACCGATCGCACACTCATAAGAGATGTATTCCTTTACTTAACTCTTACATATTATAAACAAACAGCTAGAGAAACGAATAAGCTATCTAATATTCGTAAATTAAGATGAGGAGAAGAAATAAAAGAAAATTGATTTTTAACGTGTTGGAAAAATCGATCACTGTCTCGTGTTTGATTTTCGGTTATCTCCAACTCCTCGACATCTGTTTCATCTGTTCCATGCTCTTTCACTGCCTTTCAGGCTGGGCGTGGAGTTCGGAATTGGTGCCTTGGCGGCGGTGGGAGCCGGCTTCTTCACGAATCCCGTGGACGTGGTGAAGGTGCGGCTGCAACTGCAGGGTGAGCTGGAGGCGCGAGGCTCGTATCAGAAGATATACAAAAACACCGTGCACGCCGCGTATCTGATAGCTAAGCACGAAGGTGTATTGGCTCTACAAGCGGGAATTGTACCCGCGCTCGCCTTCCAGGTGGTACTCAACGGTATTCGTTTGGGCGCATACAAGTCTGCCCAGAGATACGAACTGATCACTGACAAACAAGGCAATACCGATGTTCTACGGACCACCCTGGTGTCCGGCACGGCCGGCTGCGTCGGCGCCGTCCTCGGCAGTCCGTTCTATCTGGTAATTGTTATGTTCATTCAACCTTCCTCCAACGTACAAAATCTTCCCTCGTGCGAAATGAGTCACGATAACGGCAAAATCGAATCAAATCGTTATTGATGGAAAAGTGACTTTTAGGAATCATTTTAGAATTATTTTCATGATACATAACGTACACTGACTTTCATTCTATAACTTGGAAATTGGTCTCTTCGCCTGTTGAAACTATAACTTCAAACTGACTGTTCTTTCTTTCGAATTCGTATAAAATTATGTATAGCATATTGATTGCATACATATATGTGTGTATATATATATATATATA